ACATATTAGATTGATTGCAATAATGGCACCAATTAATGGCTTTCTGGTATCCATACCTTTTGCAATCTTACTTTGCAAGAGGGGAAATCTGTTTTGCTTCAAGCTTTAATTCCGCGAATTGGCTTTGTGACTTGCTTTAGCCAACAGAATGTGGCATAAGTAATGGTGTTATGGATTGAGTTATGTCTCCCACCAAAAAGTTATGTCGAAGTCCTCCAGTATTTATTTTGTAAATGGTATCTTTTATTTATTTATTTTTTGGCCAGGGCTGGGCTTGAACCTGCCACCTCTAGGCATATGGGGCCAGTGCCCTACCCTTTTGAGCCACAGGTGCTGCCTTGTAAATGGTATCTTTTAGAGCTAATCAAGTTAAAATAAGATCATTAGGCTGATCCCAAATCCTAAATGACTGGTGTCCTAAAAAAAGAAAAATTTGGTCTTAGAGACATGCACAGAAGGAAGATAATGTGAAAGACATTGAGAGAAGATAGCCATCTGTAAGGGAAGCAGTGCCTGAGACCACCAGTAGCTAGGAGAGAGGCCTGGGGCAGATCCATTCAGGAGGGCAGGACAAGAATGCTGGTACCTTGATTTCAGACTTTCAGCCACCAGAACTGTGCAACAATAGATTTCTGTTGTTCTAAGCAACTCATTTGTGGTGCTTTGTTACAGCAGCCCTAGGAAGCTAGTACAGATGGCGTGATAGTTCTTGGCTAAGCCTCAAAAGGCTTTCGCTACTTCCCCTTCTGTCTTTCTGTCTCTTTCTCTCTGTCTTCCTCCATCTTCCTCTTTTACTCCCCTGCCTTCACCATAAAAATATGCTCCATCTGGCTCAGTGCCTGTGGCTCAAGCAGCTAAGGCGCCAGCCACATACACCTGAGCTGGCAGGTTGGAATCCAGCCTAGGCCAGCCAACAACCACAGCTGCAACCAAAAAATAGCCAGGTGTTGTGGCGGGCGCTGGTAGTCCCAGCTACTTGGGAGGCAGAGGCAGGAGAATCACTTGGGCCCAGGAGTTGGAGGTTGCTGTGCGCTGTGATGTCACAGTACTCTCCTCAGGGTGACAGCTTGAGGCTCTGTCTCAAAAAAAAAAAAAAATGCTCCATCTAGTCTGAGAACAAGGGCAGAGTAGCCTATCAGAAGATGCGAGACCAGCCTACAACCACCTAACTACAGATGCATGAGGGAACCCAAAGAAGACCAAAGGAACTGCCCAGCCAACCACAGACTTGCAAACAAAAATTAACTACCACTGTTTTCAGTGATAAAATTTTGAGATGGTTTATTATATAGCAATAAATAACTGACACAGAAAACAAAACAAATTCATGGGCCGGGCATGGTGGCTCATGCCTATAATCTCAGCACGTGGGAGGCCAAGGAGGGTGGATTGCCTGAGCCCACAGGTTTGAGACCAGCCTGA